CACATACTGGGTTCAGGGTCCTTGAAGGCTGTCAGATTCTCCAGTTGCAAAATCTTTGAGTGTCTGTGGTTGCCATCCTACATGTATCTAGTGTCTTCTGAGAATTCTGACATCATTTGGTTTACCTTTCCCTGTCGGGAAAGACAGGGCTATTTCCTGGCAGATTGCAGTGGGCATCGGAACAGGCATGCAAGCACTTCATTTCCTTTTTATTATTATTATTATTATTCCTTATTGTATGTGTAGAGTGTTTTGCCTGCATGCCTGCCTGTGTACCACCTGCATGCTGGGTGTCTGTAGAAGCTAGAAGAGGGCACCAGAAGGTACAGACAATTGTGAGCCACCATGCAGATGCTGGGACTTGAACCCAGGTTCTCAGGAAGAGCAGCCAGTGCTCTTACCCATTGAGCCATCTCTCCAGCACCCTTGGTTTCCTCATTGGCAAGGTCATCTTAGGTCTTTGTGGTTTTCTCTGTTTCGTGCTCTGGAGCTCTGCCCCCAGGATGTGTGAGCGTGCGTGTGTGTGTGTGTGTGTGTGTGTGTGTGTGTGTGTGTGTGTGTCGGTTGTACATGTTTGCATGGGTGTGGGCTCATGTGAATGCAGGCACAGATGTGTGGGCTTGCATGTGTGTGGCCAGAAGTCATTGGGTAAGCTCCTCAATGGCTCTCCATCTTGGTTTTAAGACAGGGTCTGTTGCTGAACTCAGAACTCACTGATATGGTTAGATAGGCTGGCCAGTGGGTTCCAGTAATCCACCAGCCTCCACTGTCACTGCGACAGTGACAAGTGACAGTCAGCTTTTACACAGGGACTGGGGTTACAAACTCAGACCCTGGTGCTAGGGTGGTAGGCATGCTACTTTCTAAGCCATTATCCCTGGCTTGCCACGCTCAGTGCTTTAGACAGTATCTTCTTTTCCTTCTTTGAGTTGGAGAAGACTGTCTAGAACATTCCGGAAGCCCTCTAGTCAGAAGTCCCTGAAATTCCAGGACTGTACCTTTTACTTTCTTAGACAGGGCCTCATGTTCCCTAAGCTGGCCTCCAGCTCTCTATGTGGCTGTGGATGGTCTTGGATGTATGCCTCTCCTCCTGAGGGATGGCATCTGTGCACCACCACACCATATTTACTGATGCTGGGGATTGAAGCCAAGGCTTCGAGCACGCCAGGCAAGCACTCCACAACTAAGCCCCAGGGACATAGACTTTTAGTGGGTTGATTGTATATTATGTGAACTGGGTCTCAAAGCTGTGAAGGTATGTGAGTTTATTTAACCAAAAGTTTCATTAATAACATGAAAAATTTAATGAGCCATTAAAATTATAGATAGGATTTCACCAAAAGAAACCAACACAAAATGGTCCATCCTACATAACCTTCACTCCCCACAGGAAACACTGTAAGAGGAAAGGCCTACCACATCAGGGTTTGCCAGGGACTGGGGTGGGGCTATCAGGGGCTATGGGGAAGTTTGCAGGGGAGTGGTAGAATTCAGTTACAGTAGGAGATACACAGTTCACTGGACTTTACTTTGAAGAGAGTGGATTTTTCTTAATTTTTAAGTGGGAAAAAGAAATTTAAAGAAAAAATTGGGGCTGGAGAGATGACTCGGTAGTTAAGATATTGCACTGTACTTGAAGAGGATTTGAGTTTTCGTCTCAGCCCCCAGTTGGACGGCTCATGACCACCTTTAACCCCATCACCATGACCTCACTGGCTATTAAGCCTCTGTCTGTGCTGGACACACTGGGGGGCTTAGTAGAAGGTCTGTCCTAGTCACGGGGATGAGTGTGGACCCCATTTCTGAAGCCATTGCTCTAATGGAGGGGTGGAAGGAAAGTGCCGTGTGTGTTGGGGAGGAGAGGATCTGAACTCAGGGTATGAGCATTGGGAAAGAGCGCTGGGAAATAGTGAGTGAGCATGTCTTCAGTGAGTAGAGAGGCTCGAAGATGCTGTTAGCCAGGGCTGTGCCATTTTGTGAAGCGCCTCCGTTTTGGTTGAAATGTAACAGTTTCTGAAACGAAGTCGATTTTTCGAGCTAAAGTAACTTGTTTTTATAGAGTTTTGCCCTCCCCACCCTTGGAGCTGACTCAGCTGAGCCCAGCTGTAAGCAAGTACTGTGGCACTCACCGTCCATGTGAAGTGGAATTCCCCAACTTTTGCTTCCTCAGATCCCTGACCATAATGCTGTCTGTCTGTTTAGGGCTGTAGGTGTGAAAATACAGCACTCACCTCAAAGGACCTAAGACAGCCTTTGGGACTGACCCTTGTCTGGGGCCACAGACTAGGGTACCCCAAACTCCACGTTTTAACATGTTAAGGTTTCCATGCACATTAAAAAAAAAAAGATTTATTTTTATTTTTTATGTGCCAGTGCTTCGCCTTTTTGTGTGTATGTGTATCACACATGTGCCCTCAGAAAAGCCAGAAAGAGGAAGGCAGATCTCCTGGGCTGGGGTTAAGGATGGCTGTGAGTGGTCATGTGGGCACAGGGCACTGAACCCTGGTCCTCTGCAAGAACAGTAAGTGCTCTCAACAGGCGAGCCATCTGTGCAACCCCTCCATGAAGTTTCATAGTGCATAACAAACAAAGCCACATATCAAGGCACCTCAGGAAGGCAGTGTAGAAACCTCAGCGCTAGGCCACAGATGCGGTCTGACTTTATTCCTAGACTGTTGGCTGCTAGAGAGTAGGATCTGCTCGTACGTTCGAAAAGTTCTACCTAATGTCATGAACATAGGTCCCATACTGAAGAGGGGAAGAAATGGCTGTTGGGAAGGGCTAAAGATAGCCCAAGATAATTTGGCTCTGGACTGCCTTCATTTCAAACTCTCCACAATCATTGGAACAGTTTTTCATATATATATATATATATATATATATATATATATATATATAGAGAGAGAGAGAGAGAGAGAGAGAGAGAGAGAGAGAGATGGCTCAGCAGAGGACCCGAGTTCAGTTCCCAGCATCCACACACAGCACACAACTATATAACTCCAGTTCCAGGGGATCCAACACCCTGTTCTGCCCACCACGGGCACTAGGCACATGTGTGGGGCACATACATACATGCAGGCAAAACACTCATAGGTACAGTAAAAGTATTTGTAAAAATTAAAGGAACTGAGCCTAGGGAGAATAATTGTTTGCTTATTTTTTTGAGACAGAGTCCAAGTATGTAGCTATGGCTGGCATCTGGTTCTCACTATGTAGACCACGTAGGCCTCAGATGCATAGATACCTGATTGCCCTAGCTGAGATTAAATATGTGCACCATCACACCTAGCAAACACTTTATTACTTAAAGCGTAAGATCATCCTTGACAGTGCAGAGAGTTTAAGTCCCAGGACAAATGGAATATTGTCTCAAAACAATAAGAATAAAAAATAACGACATCATTGTAATAAAAACGTAACTTGTTTAACCAGGCTGTAATAAATACTGTACTTATATGGTTTTAATACGTAGCTATTCTTTCTCTTTGTTCATTGAATTAAGTTTTTTTACATTCCAATCCCAATTCCCCCTCCCTCCTCTCCTTACGCTCCCCCCCCCCACTTCCCTCCTCCTCCTATCTGCTCCTTGGAGAGGATAGGGCCTCCCCTAGGAAGTCTACTAAGTCTGTCCCATCATCTAGTTGAGGGAGGTGAATAAAGTTTTACAAAGCTAACCTCTCCGAATGACCTCATCAGTGTGTGTGTGTGTGTGTGTGTGTGTGACATTGATTTATTTTGTGTGACAGTCAGAGGACACCTTACTGGAGTCGATGCTTTCCTTCCCCTATGTGACTCTGATAATGGAACCCATCCAATCAACAAGCCATCTTGCCAGGACTTCACCGGCTTGGGAGTGCATTTTAAGGGTAGAGTCACTTTGGTGGGGTTGGGAGTGCAGTTTAACGGTAGAGTCACTTTGGTGGGGTTGGGAGTGCAGTTTAAGGGTAGAGTCGCCTTAGTGGGGGTGTCAAGTTGGTATGAGGGGACACAGTTGGGAAGCAGAGCCACGGTGAGTCAGGCAGCCAGCCTTGTGGGAGGTTCAGCTCTTCCCAGGGCTTCGTTCACAGCACTGGACACAATTCTTTCCCCCAAACATGACATGCCTCAGTGTCCCCTTTGAAGGCCACAGCAGACCCCTTACAGGACAAGTGCGGTCCTCACTTTTTCTGCCTATAGTGTCCAGGGCCATGCATGCATAGCAAGGAGTTTGTAAGAACTAAGGAATAAATGAATGAATGAGTGAATGAGTGAACGAGTGAAAAGATGTGAGAAGTTCGAAGTTGGCAAAGCTAAATAAAATTCTTTTGGTCTGGCATTTGGGAGTCCAAGCTCGTGTTAAGGCCCTGGCTGTGCAAAATTGGAGAACATTTTGTTGAGTGGCCTAAACCAGTAGAGAGAACATATATAATCATGGGGTTGCATAGCTATTGGACGTCAGCAGAACCTGTGGTTCTTTGGGGACTGAGGGAAGGGTGGAGTCTTGGGCCAAATGCTGGGTCATTTCATCTAGAGCCCGGTGGCTGTGGGAGAGAGATATGGCTGAGGAAAGGAAGTGAGGGGATAGGGCTGCTCTGGTGGTGTCTAAGCCGGCAGAACAAGGGGAGGGAGGGGCTCTGAGGGCAGGGTGATCTGAGAGGGGATGGGGGAGGGGAAGGGTTACTGCATTTCAAAAAGCCTGGGAGCCAGGAAGGAGTGGATGGCTCAAGAGAGCTGGCGGTGAGTTAGAGACCCCAGGAGGAAGGCAAACGGGCAGAGGCAGAGAAATGTGACTAGGAAAAGGGAGAGGCCGTGTGTGTGTGTGTGTGTGTGTGTGTGTGTGTGTGTGTGTGTGTGTGTGTGTGTGGAGGGGGGAGTGGGAGTTTCTAAATTTGCATATTTTCCCCATGACAAAAAAAAAAACACCTCATGTGACCTCACGTGAGTCTGTAAGAGGTTATTTGCAACAATGAGCAGGAGCTACTGATGTAAGCAGCCAGGAGTCGAAGCCAAGGCGACCGAAGGAGTGCATTTCACCAGACATAAGGCCTTGCTTTGAAGGAGTTGTCAAGTCCTGCCAGACAGCCCTTGAACCTCTGCACCCAGAAGATCCCATAAAGTCTGTACTGTACCGAATGTCCCAGAAGCCTCCCCTCCAGGTCCCTGGGTGGACCTGCCTCCTTGGATGAGGAGATGCCCCAGATGGATCTGGTTTTCCGTACAGAATCACAGAGGTTGTGGTTGCTGGGCTTCTCCAGGCCCAGGGGCCCCAGACTGGGTAGATCAGCCACACCTGCCTGCAGTTCTGAGGAAGAGGGCGGAAACAGCCAGGGCCCGCCCTCACTTGCTCTCCCCGCTCCTGTGATCTGTGCCGCCGTGCCACATACCCTCACTTCCCCAAACAGGCAGCTGTAGTTTTTAGAGCCCGATACCCCTCCCTGGTGGCATGCCCGGGGTCAGTGTGGGTCCTCCATTCCCGGGGTGACTGACTGCTCATGTGGATGGAGCCATGGTCTCTCGTGTTCCTGCTGCTGTTGCTGCTGAGGCTACAGGACTGTGTCTCAGGTGAGAAGTGGGGCTGAGGGAAGAAGACCACTTCCTTATGTCTGTCCCCCATTGCCTTTTCAAGCCCCACTGTCTTAGCGTTGTGTGGGGAAGGAGGCTGGGCTGGCTTGGTGGGTCTTTACTACAGAGCGGTGGCCATGTCCCATGCATGCTAATATCTAGCCCCAGGCAGAGCCCCAGCAGGCCTCACTGGAGGGTGTAACTGTGTCCGCTCTATTTGTCTTTATCTGCTAAGCTTCCTTGGTGTGGAGAATTTCCTCACAGAAATTACCTCTGTTTAGCTTTTGATTATCAAGAAAAGTTCTCACTGGCGGTGGTGGTGTGGGTCTTTGTAGCATGTGGGCACACTTTGAATTGCATTTTTCTCAGAATCCTGATGCCACATCTGGTCCCTCTGCTGTAACCCGAAGGGAGCCAATCCTCAAAGGCTTTTCCCTACTCATGGCTACTCTCTGCAGGAGGCTCACCCATTCTTGCCTTCCTGGCTGCCAAGGCAACCACTTACCACTTCCTGTTCCTTTCTGGGTATGGTGAGGGCTGCCAAACCCACCCCTCACTGTTTGACAGATAAACCAAGGACCCCCAGGGGCTTCCTCCAGGTGGCCCCAGCTCCGAGGCTCTGCGGGCAGGTGAAGTGGAAAGGCCTGCTCTGTTCTGTTTACTTTGCAAGGGAAGAAGACCCTCAGTGCTTCAGCCACAGTGACTGTAGCTTCCGGTTCCTCCCTTTGTCCCCTGAATCATCCTGCCCCCTCCCGCTCTGCATTTTCTTCAACCACATAAATATATTCATTCGTATTCATTCTCTCTCCCTCCTTTCTATGTGTGTGTGGAATACATACACATGTACAGACCGGTCCATCCTCTTGCCCCGCCCCCCCCCAGCCCATCACTGGGGTTACAGGTGCACAGTGATGGTACTTGGCGTTTTGCATGAGTCTTGGGATTTGAACTCAGGTTCTTACGCTTAGCAGTTTTTATAAACTGTCTCCCCAGCCTTCTTTCTCTCTTTGGAGACAGGGTTTTGTTTCCAAGCTAGCCTGAACTCACTAGGTGTCCCAGACTAGCCTTAAACTCTAGATCTTCCTATCTCAGTCTACCTCATGCTATTACAGGTGTGAGCCACACTCACTCCAAGGTATAGAGACCAGACGCTCTCCCAGGCACGTCTAGCGTGTGCTCTGCAGGCCCAATGCACCCTGGGATAGTCATGACTTGCTCAATACATTTACAGATGACAAACTCAAGTTGCAATATGGAAACACTGGCTGAACAGTAAATAATGTAGGAGCCACTGCCTGGCTCTCCAGCGAGGGCGTAAGTGTGTGTGGCATGTTTTATTTGTGAGTTTTATGTAACTAGAATATTTAAAAGTTAAGCACCATGGAGAGTGCTATTTAAAAGGTATTCAATAGAGGGCAGGGGTGTGGCTCAGTGGTAGAGTGCCTGCCCAACACCCTTGAGGCACTGGATGTGATCCCCAACACTGCATGCAAAACAAAGAGGGGAGAGCAGAGAGGGAAGAGAGAAGGAGAAGGGAAACTATTATGGGGGAAACAATTCTTCATCATTTTCCCAGATTCAGGACCTTTTCATCACCACAGTAGCTTGTGCTCTCCGGTTCCAGAGCCTAGTGATCTGTTTGTGTCTGCACATCTGTCTCAGGCAGGGTGTGGGTCTGTCCTGAGATACTGGGTATCCCTGAAGACCAGAAAATGTCCAGACGAAAGGGGCTCTCCCGCTAAGGCCGTTTCCTCACTGGACTGGGTCTCCTCCATCAGACTGGCAGTGGGCTGTTATTGGGCCTGGGCTTCTCCCGTCAGACATGAGGCCGGGGCTCTGCTCCACCTCGCGCTGAGCTCCACGAAAGCCAGGGCTGCTGCACCCTCCCCTACCCCAGCTGCCAGTTTCAAGATGTCTTCTTCTTCCTCTCCAGACCTTGCTCAGCAAGTCCTGTCTCCCCAGGTCCCTCCAACGAGAACGTGTACAACAAAGTGTGGCGGCGTGAAGGGGAGTCTCTGTCTGTGCAGTGCTCCTACAAGAACCGCCGGAACCGCGCAGAGGGCAAGGCTTGGTGCAAGGTCAGGAAGAAGAAGTGTGAGCTCAGCTTCACGCGGAGCTGGGTGAAGGGTCCCAGCTACTCGATGCAGGATGATGCCAAGGCCAAGGTGGTCCACATCACCATGGAGGCCCTTCGGGTCCAGGACTCCGGAAGATACTGGTGTATGCGGAATACGGCCGGGAACCTCTACCCTTTGGTGGGTTTCCAGCTACAAGTATATCCAGGTGAGCAGACCCGCCCAGATCTGGGGTAGGCAGGGTAGTGTAGGAATGGTTCTTCACTGGGGACATCTTCCTGTCGCCTTTTTTTCAGACAAAGAGAAAAGGAGTTTATGAAACTCTGTGTGGTTCTGGCTTTGCCCTGTGCACAGGAGAGATTGGAACTCCGGGGACATGCTTTGTTTTGTTCAGTTATCTGCATGTCATATACTCACCGAGCTCGGGGTGTGCCTCACATTGTTACAGGCTTTGAGAATAGAATGATGAACAAAACCAGCCACAGTCCTGTCCTGTGGGGATGCCAGATGGTAACATACCATCCAGACAAATCATGGCGTAGCACGATGTATGTGCTTAGAAAGCAATGATGAACTAGCTACTCAGTGTCAGGGGGTCCTGGGTGAGGAGAGCTCGCTCATGCTTGGAAGGGCATCTGCAGGGACAGCCTTATGAGCAAAGGCCCTGAGGTGAGATGCAACAAGGCCTGCAAAAGGATTGGTGTGGCTGGTTCACTCTGGATGTGGGAGAGGATTAGGGAAAAAAAGCAGTAAGTTTTATAGTAATTGGTTGCATTTATTTGTTTGTTTATTTGGGGACAGGGTCTCCCTATATAGCCCTGGCTGGCCTGGAACTCACTCTGTAGACCAGGCTGACCTTGAACTCACAGAGATCCCCCTGCCTCTGCCTCCCTAGTGCTGGGATTAAAAGTGTGCGCCACTGTACCAGTCTAATGCTTGGCTTTTATTTTTGGCTTTCAGCTTGTAGAGTCAGTGGTCCTCAATTCCACGAAACAAAAATGGGTCTAATTCTTAAAGTAACAGGAAGAGAAACATGTTGTAACTTTCTTTGATACCCTCTTTGTATGTGTGTGTGATGTATGTGAGGGTGTACTGGGTATATGTGGAGGCCAGAGGTCAAGCTCAGGTGTCATTCCTTAGGAGCTGTCTACATGTATTTAAGGCAGGATTTCTCACTGCCCTGGAGCATGCCAAGTGGGCTCCGCGATGCCCAGATTAAAAACACACTAGTGTGCCCAGGTCTGCATGCTTTCAAGGCAAGCACTTGACCGACTGAGCCATGTTTCACATGGCTTCTGTGTAAGGCAACGATCACTGTGTATGAACAGTGGGAGCGTATGAGAGGGGCCGATGAGACCAAGGTGGATGCCTGACTGGGAATAGCAGTGGCTTGGGCAAGTGGGGTTGGGCACATCTGCCCGCACTCCAAAATGTGCAGGACATCTAAACAAGCACAGAGTTGAGTTCATCTATTACCCCCTGCCTCCCATTGCCCACCACATGCCCTCCCCTGCTCCCCTGAACTCCAAGGAGAACCAGGGAGAGCTTTCCCTCCCAGCTGTGGAGCCAAATCTCATTCTAGTTTCTTGTCAACCTCAGAAGCAGGTGACACTGGCTCTGGGGTCTTCATTTGGAGGGATACCATCATGAAATGGATCATCATTTCTCTTATCAGTGTGTGTGTGCGTGTGTGTGTGTGTGTGTGTGTGTGTGTGTGTGTGTGTGTGTGTGTGAGTATGTGCGCGCGCGCACGCGGTCATCTACACATGAAGGTCGGTGAAAGCCTCAGGTGCCATCTGCTCTCTTATTTTCTTTGAGACAGTGGCTGTCACTAACCTGGAAATTGCTGAGTAGGTTGGGCTGTCAGGCCAGTGACCCCAGGATTTCTCCCGTTTCTGCCTGTCCAGCATTGATTGTGAGCGTGTGCACCACGCTTGGCTTTCGGGAGTTGAACTCAGGTCCTCACGCTTGCAGGGCAAACGCTGCTGACAGAGCTTCCCCCTTATCTTCATTTTCTGCTTCTTATGGGAAACCTTGGGGTGGTTTCAACTTTGCCCATGTTTTCAGTGGCAAGAAGAAAAAGACTTCTGCCAATGACCATCTGGCTCTGTGAGAAAAGACACTAATGCCAAACCCAATGATCTGAGTTTGATCCCCGAGACCGTGTCGTAGAAGGAGAGAGGTGACTGCCACAAATTGTCCTTTGACCATCATACTCGTATCAGGAATGTGGTGTCCACTCCCAAATAAATAAATGAAAACGTAAACAAGTACTTAAGCCTCAGCCCAATTACAACTCTAACAGCAGCATGTACACTGCCCCAGCAGCCAGGGCTTGTAACCCAGGGCCACGGGAAGGGGAACAGCTGCTCTCCTGGCCAGCTCCTTCATCTTTGGAGCTGGGGATGGTTTCCTCTTTCTTTTTTACATGAACCAGTCAGCCGGCCACCTTTCATTGGACTCTGGTTCTTAGTCAGGATTTGAAGATTCACATTTGGGGATGGGACAGGGGTTATGCTCAGGTGTGCAGTACCATCCATAGTGACCCTTTGTGTCGCTGCTCATGTTTGAGCTCCTTGTTAGAACCGCAGTAGCTGAAAACCACGTAGGCTGCCAGCCGGCACCATGTTAATCCCCGAGATGCTGCCTTTCCTCACGTTGATGTATTTGTTGTAATACCGGTCATAACCTCTCTGGAAGGCTCCCACAATGCCACTGGTGGTGAAATTCTACATCAAAATCCAGCTTGGCAACTCTCCAAGTTTAACCTCCACGAGCTTCTCCTCCTTCAGTGGCACGAGCCTGGACACTCCCTCTAGGACACACTGATGGTTGAGTAGGAACGGGGCAAGGGCATTAATGGTGGAAGTCAGCTAGCAGGTGTGGGAGGCCCTCTACTGGCTGAGTCCTACATTGATGTTCAGGCTTCATTGCTCAGAACAGTGGCTCAGACCTCCCTGCTCAGGGACCGCTGGCCTCAGGAATGTGGCCTTTCTGTGCCTAGCAAAGGGCTTGGGGGTCTTTCTGTGTCCTGCTCTGGTGCAGACAAACCTGTGGCTCCCCACAAGACTGAACCTCTGGTTGCAGTTCCCTCGTGCTGTCCAGACTCCACGCCGCTGCTGCTGGTGGTAAAGGGTTGGAGTGATGGTCTGGGCAGGGGCAGGATCTGCTCCTGTATGTCTTAGTGTACAGCAAGGAGGGTGTCTGACCACAGCTCTGAGCAGTTTCCTCTTGAATGTGGGACGCTTGGATCCTCTCTCTGTTCCCAGTCCTAGTCCCCATCTGACAGTTACAAAGCTGCTGCCCATAGACAGCATAATATCATAAAAACATCTCTTAAACTCAAAAGGGTGCAGTGAGGTGGCTCAATGGGTAACAGCGCTTGCCATCAATGGGACCGGGTTCAAATCCCAGAACCCATATGATGGAATGCAGGAACTGACTTCTGCAAGTTGTCCCCTAACCTCCACATGTGTTCTGTGACATGTGTGCACACGCACAAATACACACACATACAAATTACACACACACACAAATACACATATACAAATACACACAAATATACATACACACAAATGTACACACACAGAAATACATACACACAAATGTACACACACAGAAATACATACACACAAATACACTCACACAAATACGCACACAAACACAAGTATACACACACACACACACAAATACACACACTTACAAGCTAAATAAATGTCATTTTAAAAGGCAATCTCTTTGATGCTCATGATTAAGAAGGGCCTGGAAAGTGACCGGGCAGCTAGGAAGATGGCGCTGTGCTCTGAGAGCAGGTCTGAAAGGGGAGGGAGGCTGGAGATTGTTCTAGTGTCCCCCTCCCTCACATGTCTACTTCCTCTCTGAAAGAGCACACGCCTGACAAGCCGTGGAGAGGCAGTGTCTGTGCAGCTGAGGGGCTATGAATTCTGTCCCTGGCACTCAAGCCTTTGGCTTAATCAGGTATTTCTTCCTCTCTGGTCCCTCAGCCCTCACAACTGAGAGAAACCTTCCTCGCACGCATCTAACCAACACCCTGGAGAGTGGATTTGTCACAACGGGCCAGGTCCCCATGTCAGGCCCTCACGCCCCCTTCACCCCTGACGTGACTGTGTTCACATCTGGACTCCTCACCTTGGCCTCAGGGACCACCACGCCAACCCCCGTGACAAGCTACGGTTTCACCGACTCCAGCAGCACCATCACAGAGCCCGCAAGCAGCACAGAGCCCCAGCCAGCGACCGTGTCTCCTAGCAATGCGAGACCCTTCTCTGCTGATCCAGTGACCACGTCCACTGTGTCCAGACACCTGAGCAGTGGCTTGTCTACCACAGGGATGTACCACCAGTTAACCCCCAACAGGTTATGTGATATTTTATCAGGTGTGGCCCCAGCTCTCAGAGCCCCCAAAACCTCAGGGGGCCACCCTTTCCTCCAACACTCCCTGTTCCCCAGTCTGGGTCACTGTCACTCAGCAGTGAATAGTGAGGAGTGGGGAGGTTTCTAATGGAAGGCAATGGCGATGAAGGTCAAGAGCGAGGATGGAGAGGTGAAGGAAGGGCGGGGCAAAGGGCTGGAAATGGGAAGTGTGGGTGCATTGTGTTCCTCCAGATACTGAGATGATGACCAGAGCTTTACCCAGAGCAGGGAAGAGGGTGGCGGTGGGACAGAGGATGGAAGGCAGCTGGCAAACCATGCTTGAAGCAGCCTCTACTATGCACACAAGAATATCATCCCACCATATCTTGTGGCGGATGCCCACTCAAGGCCAAGGAGCTGGGACGGTGATATGCCACTGGTAGGGGGTAGCATAAAGGGCTCCAGCCCGAAGGATGGTGCTGGCTTTAGTGACAGGAGACAAAGGGGAGCAAGAGGAATCCTCAGTCACTGTGGAGGCAGCAATCTTGGCGTCTTGAGCCCCGTGGGGCCATTTCGTAGTACCCTCGTCTTCACTGATGAAAGGACTTGGGGACATACCGGAGGAGAGGTATTAAGTGAAGATCCTCCCTTCCGCCTGTTGGTATCCGTTCTCTTCCCACATCTGGTCCCGGGAGGGGGGAGCTCTCTGGAGGGAATGCTGTGAGGCTGCCTGTTGGGTCTGTGGGGACCTGGTGCTTACCCTTCTCCTGTCCTGCCCCCTCAGGTCGCAGAGCATGTACCTCACTGCAATGGCAGTGGTGCTGACGCTCCTTCTGGTTCCTGTGGTGGGGCTGGTCTATGGGTTTTGGAAGAAGAGGCATATGGGAAGTAAGTAGAGTCATTGTAACACAGATAATAAAAAACCCAGAGACAGACATTGGGGTTCAAGCTTCAAGCTGAAGGTCAGAGAAGCAGAGCAGCCGAGCCAGTAGATCTTCCCTCTACCGAGCTGAAATGGCAACCCTGTCTCCATGAATCCTCGGAGGCAAAAGGCTCTGAGTTCCTGTCTCCTCCTCCTTATATTCCTCTCTCTGCCCAGCCCATTCTCCCATCTCCACCACCCAGGTGCTGGGATCAAAGGTATGAGCTCTGTACTCTTCACTCTTGTATAGGGCAGGGTGGCCTTGAACTCAGAGCGATCCCTCTGCCTGCCTCCTGAGTCCTGGGATTAAGGGTGTGTGCCACCGCTGCCTGACCTCTCTAGCTATGCTTTCTGAACCCTCAGGCAAGCCCTAATAAATCATAAATAATACATCACCACAAGTCACCCACCCTCTGGCTCCCAGGGTCAAGATGTGAGTCCCTACTTTGAGGAGTGTGACACTGAGGACCCTGAGTCTCTGCCTGTGTCCAGTCAAGATGACCAGTGACATCCAGGGAGGAGGAGGGTGGCCAGGCATGGGTGGCCACACATGTCCCTTAAGGGGATGAAGGAGCAATGTAGAGGCCAGAAAGGGTCAAAGGCCACCCAGGGGCATTGGCACACTGAGAGCATCTCTCCCTGTTTGTTGTAGGCTACAACTTGAGCAGCAACTCCGCTAAACCCTGGATACACCTTCCTGAAGGATCAGAGACGCTGTGGAAGCCTGCGTGGTCTAGGATAACTCAGTGATCTGGGAAGATGTTTCCAGTGGGCTCAGAGTCCAGAAGAGGACGGAGGAGCAGGAAGTGGCCCAGGGGCAGGACAGCACAGGTGCCTAGCTTTCCTCAGGGCCACTGTGTCTTCAGCGTCCCTCTGCTGCCGAAAAACTTCTCCGGATGTTTGGAGACAAGAGCCAGCGCTCATGAGCCCTTGAGGCAGCCAGCATCTCTGTTCTGGGTGAGAAGGGACAGTGACTAAGACCCGGGAACACAGAGGAATTGGTAGCAGGAGGTCCCAGAGCTGACCAAGGTCACTATCTTCTGATGTACCCTGACGGTGGCGGCAGGTCCCTTCTGTCTTGGAACCACACATTTCTCTTGTCTCCTGCCTGTTAACCCCTCTCAGGCCAATGAGAGCCTTCAGCTACAGGGCCAGCCTTTCCCAGGTGCAAAGGCTGAATTTGGACTTCCCAATCCCGTTTCTATTCCCATGCCACAGTGATGAGCTCATGGAGGAGACTGAGGGCACAGACTATGCCTTGAGGAATCTGCAGCCCCATTGAGAGGGTCCCTCCTCCAGACACTGTGGTTGGCCTCAGAGGCGAGCATGACCACTTATGGGAAAAGACCACGTGGAGGTACCCTGCTTTAAACAGCAGGGGATGGAGGACTCAGTTTGGGAAATTGACAAAGCAGATTCTAGCCTGGAAAGATGGGCAGACACACACACAGACACACAGATACACACAAACAGACACACAGAGAGAGAGAGGAGGAGGACAGAGAGAAAGGGAGAGAGAAATCTTCCAGTGACCAGCAAAAGACCTGTTATGAGTCATGCTTGTGGTTGAGCAACAGGACGACTTCTCCAGGCAGGCATGGAAACAACAGAGCCTGGGGTCCAGTGCACTACTGACTCTGCCTCCATCCATGCACACCTCAGACTCTACTATCTAGATCATTGGTCCAGAGTGGAGCAGGGATGGCCGTGGGATACAGGTGAGGGCTGACAGCTGTGGGTAACGGACTGTGGGATGAACTGTCTCCCTAGTATGGATACACACTAGACCATGGAGCTCTCCGTAACTCCGGATCCACGTATCTGGTGTCCTTTTCTGATCTCCTCAGGCACATGAGATACACACAAATATACCCCATGAAAAAACTTTATTAAAAAAAAAAAAAACAAAAACAAAAACCAAGCCCTTTGGACCAAAAGCAACCTAGGCAGGGAAGGACTTATTTGACTTAAGCTTCCAGGTCACAGTTCACCTTTGAAGGAAGCTGAGGCAGGAACTCCTCTAAGGACTGGAGCAGAGACCACAGAAGAACGCAGTCTGCTGGCTTGTCTGCTCACAGGTCTGTGCTGTTAGCTTTCTTACACAGCGCATGAGCGCTTGCCAAGGGAATGGTGTCTCTCACAGTGGACCGGACCCTCTGTGTCAGCTAACAATCAAGACAATCCCCAGAGGCATGTCCACAGGCCAATGTGATCAGGGTAATCCCTCATGGGAGGCGTCCTTCTCAGGAGAATCTGGGCTGTGTCAAGTTGGGAATTAATGCTGTCAATTTTCTTGACCTCCCCTGACTCCTCCCTTTCTATGCTCACACTACAGCTCTGTGATGGTGGCTGTATTAGTCACTTTTTAATTGTTGGGGATGGCTGCTCCTAGGCTTCCCCTGGGGCTCTGAGGTATGGAGAGGAATGTAGTTCCTTGCATAACCCCAGGAACATGCTGGGCAGTCAGGAACAGCCTCGGGTGGGATTCTTGGGGAAGCTGAGGCTTCTGACCCTGGGACCCCAACTCTTCCCCACCAAGGGGCTGTGGTCATCAGTCCCAGGATCTCTAGGTGCTCTCTCTGTGACCACATGAAATATCTGGTACAGCATCGTCTGATCAGCTTCCTGCTGTCTGCGTCACAGTGTCTGACAGCTTTCTGCTGACACTCTCCGATTTCCCCTCTGCAAACCATATGCAAAATGTTGTGCTACTTAATAAATTTGCAGGGCAGAAGTTATCAGCTCCTGGTCCTATCTTTCCTGTCTTCTTCATTTTTCTCGTCCAGGTCCTTCCTCTCATGACCCTGCACTGAAGCCTGCTGGCCCAGGTCACACCATGACCACGGCACCTTAGGAAAGGAAGGGTTCGTTTGGGGTGACTGTTCTAGAGGGTTGAGTCCACGGACAGTGAAGCATGGCAGCATGCAGCAGGCTAGAACAGGATGCTCCAAGCTCACATTTTGGTCCATAAGCAGAGAGCACAAACTCAGAGGAAGGTAAAGCCTTAGGCTCTTAAAGCCGACCCCCTGTGACACACTCCCTCTAGTAAGGCCACACCTCCTAAAGTGCCCCAAACAGCACTACCAACTGGGTACCACGTGTCCAAATACCCGAGACTGTGGGGACATCTCACCAGACCACTAAAGGTGGACCCGTCAGCGAGCCTCCTGGTGAATTTTAAGGTGCATGGTAAGGCAGTGACACTGAAATCAAGGTCTGAGTTCAAATCCCCAGTGCAGTCCTTCGTCTGAGTGTGATCAGGCTCACTGTCCCTCTGCTGGACAGGAGGATGGAGAAGGCAGAGGCTGCTGTGTACCACCTCCTACAGCAAAGCCGTGTGCACGTCATTCTTGAGCACAACTCAGGATTGAGAGGGGCAGGTCAGCAGGAAAAGGACTTCAGACAGCTCTGGCCTCAGTCTGATGGTGACTGAGGGAAGCAAAGGCATGTGTGGTTTACACACACGACCCTCACGCATGTTCAGATGCCATGGTGCAGGCATGAAGTTGTTCAGGGAGTAGAGCTGGGACATCCTGGAGCTCAGGGTCTTTGATGAGCTTCATGGAGGGGTTTTCTATGTGAAGCCAGAGCAGAGGCTGAGGCAGGGGATGGCGGTGTCTGCAGGAGGCTCTAGGGTTGTGGTTGCAGAGACAGCACAGGCCAATGCACTTTGGAACCTTCGGAAGGCTGCCCCAGAGGGAGCTATGTGGACAGCGGAGGCCAGGGACAAGCCACAGCTAGTGGTCATGGGAGACTTCAGTAAGAGAGGGGATAGACAGGAGAGAGTGAGTGATTTTCCACTCACGTGATCAGGCCAGGGGTCTCTGTAAGCTGGGAATGCATTACAGCTGTTCACTCTAGCGCCTGCCCACTTGGGACCTCCACGGTAGGGGCACTGGCAACCAAGGAGTTGCTGTAGATAGCTGCTCCTCACCTCCTGGGGCCTGCATGGCTTCTGAGGTTCTTTGCTCCAAACTCCAGGCCGGCTCTTCCTCCTTCATCTGCTCACCTTTCTTTCTGGTGCTCCAGGGGACCAAGAGCCAAAGTAGGTTGGCTGGGGACTCTAGGAGGGGCACAGGAGAGGTGCCAGACAGGTCAGGGATGCAGCTGCCTTGGAGAGGCAGCAGCTTCCAGAGCTAAGCACACACAGCCTGGACAGCCCTGCACGAGGTTCGGTGTCTTGTCCAGAAGGAGCAGGTAAAGCGACCCTGTGGCCGCGTTGTGCGCTCTCCAGAGCTGTGTGTACAGTGTGGGTGCAGACGCCTGCCTTGCTCTGCTTACAGTAATGGGTGCTCTCGGGTCTGCCCGCCGCATCCTCGGACTCCTTGCTCCATGCTGGGAGGGGTGAGGAGGCAGAAGTCGCCTTTGCTAGCCGGCCAGCTGGCGAAAGTCACCTTCCCAAGGCCCGAGTCCCTCCTAGACACCTCCTTGCCACAGACTGACTGACACTGGTGTCTAAAGGCTTAGCGCCGTTCTGCCACCTTGGTCAAAGGCTCACCCTGCCTCTCAGACCTCCTCACGAGGTGGCCTGGGCTTCCTCAGGCCTGTAGTACTGTCCACAACTCTGTCCCTTTCCTAGGCTGAGTCGTTCACAAGTCCTGGTCGGTCTGGGTCAGCCCTGTGCCCTGGCTGCTCCATGACATCGTCATTTAAAGGGGCTTCCCCATTTACATCCTACGGTTTGTAAATTCCTTTTGTTTATGTGTTTATTTGACACGGGGTCTCATGTAGTCCTGGCTGAACTTGCTGAGCAGCCAGGGACAAACTTGACCTCACACCCTCCCGCCCCCACCTCCCAAGCGCTAGCATTAGACTCATGGCCCGCCCTGCCTCCTGCTCATCTCTCTATAGCCTGGAGCTACAGGTGTCTTTGTGTTTTGTTTCTTGGTTTTTTGTTTGTTTGCTATTATTATCGTTGTTGGTTGTTTTGCTTTTGGTAGCTCATGCAATATCAGTTGTATTTATTTACTTTAAATCTCTCACGTGTGTGCAAGTCAGGACAACTTTTGGGAGCTCAAACTCAGGCTGTCAGTCCTGGTGGCAAGTGTCCTCTCCTGCTGAGCCACCTTGCTGTCCTGTGACAGTTAACTGGAATGCGTTTGATGAGCACGGTCTTTCGAATGATGCTCAGCAGTGAGTGTGGCACGTTGGGAAGCTGGGTATATGGGGTAACAGGGGGCCTGGGGCTGCCTCCTCTCTTCCCTCCTCCTGAGCCCTCTTCCTTCCTACCCAGCTTTGTGCTCTCCCACCCCTCAGCAGGAGTGCCCATCCCTTCTTCTCAGCCCCGCTAGTTCACATGGAGCTTTCTGGTCCCCGGGTGAGCCAGTCAGCAAGGTTCTGACCCCTGAGGGCAAGGTGGCCTTAGAGCCCTAGCCAGGTCTCCAGAGGGCCTCTGGTTCTGTCACCTGCTGTGAGTGGGAGCCAGACTTGGGTGCAGAACAGAAACTTGAGGCTAAAGAGGAAGTGGGGGACATGCAGGTGGTGCTGAGGAGAAATGAGCAGACTCTTACTTCACTATGGTTTCCTCCTGGGATTTCTCAGCTTTCCTCACCCCGGTCTTACGAGGCAGGAGACTGCAGCTCCTCCGTGAGCCTTTATCTGGTTCAGTTCAGGAGCCCAGACACAAAGCCTGTGGCTGGAGGATCCACGGGGCCACGCAGGCCTTGCTCACCTTCTCTCTTGTCCACGGCGGTCTCTGCTCCCTGAGCAGTTCGTCCCACACTGGCTGTGGTGGCTGCCTGGGTCCTGCCCTGCCCTGGTCTCCTCCTCACGGCATCCCTGCCCCCTTCCCTGCTCCTCTCCCCAGCTCCAGAAGAGGACCTATGGCCTGGGAGGCCTCATGCCTGCTATCCCCCATCCTGCTGGTGCTCCTGGCCTCAGGTGAGGATGGGGGACGAGGGTGATGGAGGGAAGGAACCGGGAGAAGGTAGGGAAGGGTTGGGAGGTGTGCACCAATGGGGCACTGGGCTTGGGAGGGCAGAGCACATGGGGTGTTGAGGCCAGCGGCTGGCTCTAATCTCATCCCAGCATAGACAGAAAGAGGGTCACTCCCTGAGAAGGGGACCCACCTCCTAGCCTTGCTTTGGAGGCTGGGGGTTCTCTGACCTGGAGGGTCTGTCTGTCCTCAGGCTCCTGGGCACAGGGCACAGAATCTCTTCAAAGAGTGGAGGGAACGAGGCTTTCCGTGAAATGCTGGTATGATCCCAGCCAACACTTAAAGGAGAAAATCTGGTGTGTGAAAACACCAGCAGATACTTGTAACATCTTAGTGTCGAGTCCTGCAGGCAGAGATGCTCAGGGAGGACGATCCTTCATCTGGGACAATCCTGACTCTAACTCCTTCACTGTCATCGTGACTGCGTTGAGGACAACAGACTCGGGTTCCTATCACTGTGGGACCCTCGAAAGCCGCAGAATGTTCACTGTTCTCAGAAGCTTCAGCCTAGTGGTGTCCAAAGGTGAGCGTCCCCCTTCTATGTGGCTCTCAGCCGTCTGGAGTCACAGGCTCCAGGGTTGGAGAGGATTCTAGGAACTGCTTCCTCTAGTAGCTGGAAGCTGTGGCACAGGGTAGAAAGTCCTCCCCTCCCCCCCCCCCCGCCCCACCACCACCAAGGCCAACAGATGGTTCTCAGGGCAGAGTCAGCCCTAGACTCCAGGCTTCTGGGCCACTCTTACTGGTTATTCCTAATGCTGCTGCTAACAGAAATCTGATTATTGAAGGTCCTTACTGCTCACCCCAGCTCTCACAGTCATCCAGTCCTGGGCTGGGATTGGTATGTAAAATAGGATTATTTTTAATTTAAATAAAAAAAATAACTTTAAAAAAGGAAAGGAATGAAATAAAATCGAAAAGGGGCTGGTAGAGATGGTGCACACCCAGCGCTCGGGAGGCAGAGGCAGGGGGATCTCTGACTTTGAGGCCAGCCCGATCTACAGAGAGAGCTCCAGGGCAGCCAAGCTTTGGCAGTGAAAGAAAACATAACGCCCCTGCAAATAGCAGAACTTGGTAGCTTTGGCCACGTGGTTCTGGCTTCAGAGTCAAAGATACACAAAAAAGTCAAGGTACCTTGTGGAGTGACGTGACTTACAAAGGCCGAGAGAACCGTGTAAGAAGGACACCAGGGCAGACGGAGAGGTGGACAGCAGCAAACAAGAGCATCTCCGTAACTCAGACAGCCCGGAAGTCTTCTTCACGCCTTTCCAGCGCCCTCCTTTCCTCCTTCCCGTTCATTTCTTTCTGTCTCTGATTCAGGCTGGCTTGTTTGGATTTTAGTAAAGTGGAACCTTGCTTCTTAAATAGACGTATTCATTTCCTCTTCAGCTCCATTTCTCTTCACCTAATCATGCATCTATCACCTACCCATCCACCTATCATCCATTCTATGTGTCTTCTTGCAGATAATTCAAATACTCCTGCCTCTGGCATGACTTCAACTTGGACAGTAACTGAAGTTCCTACCTTTAATCCCACAGAAGACCTGAATGCCATCTCTGCCAGGTATGTACGTGTGTGTGTCTGTGTGTGTGTGTGTGTGTATGTGTGTATCCACAACCCAAGTCAGCTGTTGCTGTCCCCTCTCAAGATCCTGAAGTCACATTCACTAATATGATAGGTGTTACCAACATGTTTTCAGGCTGCTGGGCACCTTCTTTGAATACTTTTTGTACTCAAATCACCTCAGTCTGTGTGGAAATGCCTAGAGAGGTGAGAGGTACCAACTGACTGAGGATGAGGCTCTTGTCCTCCCCAGCCCATCCTGGATTCTCACAGCAGACAGACCGCATGACTTCAGGGAAGTCAGGAAGCTCTGTAGCAGAGGGACATTGGACAGATGGTCAGAGCTGGAAGGTGATCAAGTCCAAGGGTTTGTTTTGTTTTGTTATGTTTGACAAGATCTCACTGTGTAGCCTTGGCTGGCCTGGAACACTATGTAGACCAGGCTGGCCGCAAACTCGGTAGAGATTCATCCACCTGCCTCTGCCTCTGCCTCTGCCTCTGCCTCTGCCTCTGTCTCTCCCTTTGCCTCTGCCTCCCAAGAGCTGGAATTAAATGTGTGCATCATCAGGCCTGGCTAGCCCCACAACTCTTGCAATTTTGGCAATGACTCTAAATTTTTGCCTTTGCTTTTACTTTTTTTGTTTTGTTTTGTTTTTCAAGACAGGGTTTCTCTGTAGCTTTGGAGGCTGTCCTGAAGCTAGCTCTTGTAGACCAGGCCGGTCTAGAACTCATAGAGATCACCTGCCTCTGCCTCCCGAGTGCTAGGACTAAAGGTGCGCACCACCACCACCCGGCTTGCTTTTGTTTTGCTTACTTAATTTGTTTTTTGTTTTTTGATTTCAACCCTGGTGTGAGTAACCAACTATACACTGATGGGGTGAAAATTTCTGGTGTAAATTCTCAGCAGGTTTGCTATTGATTTTAGCAATGCCGAGAATGGAAATAGGGCCTCACCCTTGCTATGTAGGTGTTTTACCTCCAAGCTACTGGTCTCAGGATTTGAGAGTAAGATTTTCAGGTTTTTAACAGGCATTTGTGCGAGCCAGCTTCCATCATTGTGACAGACCCTTGGGATAATCAGCTTGTGAGATGTCCAGTTTGGCTGGAAGTTCCAGGTTTCAATATGTGGCTTTTGGACCTATGGCAGGTACACAGAGGTAGCAGCATGTGGCAAAGCCTTTCCCCATAGCCAGGCTATGCAGACAAAAAGAAAGAGGGTCCCATTATCCCTTTGAGGAAGGATGAGTGGATAGATGGTAGGCATGTGTATGAAGGGATGGTGGGTGAATGGACAGATAATGGAATGAATAAATGCTTGGATGAATTGATCAATGTCCTCAAAGACCTAAATCTCACCATTAGGCCCAGCCTACCTCATCGTCACAGCTGTAAGTTCATTCTGCATCACATCTATTTTAGTAATAATATTGTTCTCTTGGTGCTGAAGATGGAGCCCAAGTCCTCATGCATCCTTAACCCATGCTCTGAGCTGCACGCTCAGTCCCAGCAGGAAGATTTTAAAATGTTAAATACATGTTGGCCAACCTGCAGTCCCACTGCCTTATTGGTACATATGAATTTCCATATTCAGAAGATGCTTTGCACATGTGATCATATGCAGAGTGACATACATGCTCATGGAAATTGTGTATAGATCAATGATTATAAAAACAAAAGGACAACCAGGCAATGGTGGTGCACACTTTTACTAAGCACTTGGGAGGAAGAGGTAGGGAGATCTATGAATTCGAGGCCAGCCTGTTCACAGAACAAGTTTCGGGACAACCAGGGTTACATGAAGAAACTCTGTCCCAAAAAAAAAAAAAGCCAAACAAACAAAAATCAACTGGAGAGATGGCTCAGCAGTTGAGAGAACTCGGTGCCCTTGCAGAGACCCAAGTTCATTTCTGAACTCACAATCGCTTATAATTCCAGCTGCAAGAAACCCAGTGCCCTCTTCTGGCTGGCCTCTATGGCCATTGCAATCACGTGCACAAACATGCACACAGATAACATTATGTACACAAGAAGAAAGATGCAACTTTTAAAAAACCAAAAACAATATCAGTGACTAATAATGGACAAGTGAGTGTGCTTTTCTGGGAAATTATGCATCTGTTGAAATTATAATTGCAGAGACTAGGTACTGATGTTGAAGGACAATCTTAGCAGGGAAGATGATGCCATGTGAATAATTAGAATTAGTGCCATGCTTAGGTTTGGATAAGCATGAATAAAGATCAGGCAAGACTATGAGGAAGCACCTTAGGTAAGTTGGAAGGAAGGAAACGATTTCTTCCTCTGTAATTTAGCATTTAAATGAAGGCACATTCCAAGACACACCAACATTCAGTGGTAATGGTAAAGAGAGGCATACATGGCAAGTTTGTGGTTCTAAACATTGCCTGCTGCCACACTTTGGATATGACAGGGTTTGCAAAGGCCCGAGTGTTTAAAGCTTGGTCACCTGAGTGGCACTATTGGAAAGTAGCAGAAACTTTAGAAGGCTCTGTGCACTCTGTGTGATCTCTGTGTGATTCATTGCCACCTACTCCTTCTGTCCCTGTGTCTTATCATGTAGAGCACCGTGTCCTCATCTCTTCCCTCTGCCCAGGTCAGGCAATACTCTCTCTCTCCTGTGGAGGTCTCTTTCTTATGTTTACTGCTGTCTACCTAGAAGTTGAGAATCACTTTGCTAAAATCATGACACTTCTGCAATGGGATTTTCAGTAAGGATGGGTTCTTCTTGGTCTCTGGATGGGGAAACTGAGGCTAAAGGTTGGACAAGTGTCCCCAGAAGCAGGTCAGAATGCTAACAACAGGGACGGGGCTCCCTAGATATGGGCCTCTATGATTCCACAGAGAAGGCCAAGATGCCTGGATGAACCGTCCTGCTTTACTCATCTCCTGGCCCTGAACTCACGACTCTCCACCAGACATATTTCTAACTGGTTATTTTAGGAAGCAGCCATATAAACAGCGTCTAAACTTCCCCACAGGCCATGGGAAAGCTGCAGGGAGGCCCTAAGTTGACAAGAGTGCATGGGGAAGAATTCCCTAGACTGCACCATGGGTGGTCATCAATCGTCCTTCAATCTCCTGTCTCCACAGGGTCTCCACGTCCAGCATTGTTGTCCCTGTGGTCTGTGGACTCTTCAGTAAGACCCTGGTCTTCACGGTCTTGTTCGCTGTCACACAGAAGTGTGTGTCATTTGGATGACAGACCATGATGCCATGCACAGTGACCTCTGACTTTCAGCCATGTCTGTCTCACGGGAGGAGCTGGGGGTGGGGGCTAAGGAGGGACTGTGACGTGAACTGGGCCTGTAATCGTGGGTGGTATCTAAGGCTCAGGATGTCCTGCTGGCCCTGCTCACCCCCTCAGTCCACCCTCATCCTTGCTGTGTGCTGTGCACCTCAGAAGAGGGCAAACTGCCCAGGCCTCTGGCCATCGCGCCTGAGTAGACCAGTTGGCCTGCAATAAAGACGGAACCCAGTGCTCCTAGTGACACCTTCCATGGAAGTCGGGAGATTTAGGGGTCATCACTGCTCACCCTGCCCCTGTCCTTCCCTTGGGCGGTGCAATTCTAGCCACCTGGGCCGGGCCCTTGCTCATGAAGCAGCCTGCTCTCCCAGCCTCCGGGGCCTTCCTCTCTGGGAATCCGGCACTCAGATTTGTCTTCATCTGTGGTCCTCCGAACTGATGGGTGGGTAATAAAAATGCAGTGCCTACATACGATGAAATTTCATTTAATTGCAGAGAAAAGAATGAACTAGTAAATTTTCAGGTAGATTGGTAGAACTGGAAAAAAATAACACCAGGCGAGGTAACCCAGGCCCAGAGAGACAAACCCTGAATGTTCTCTCTCATATGTGGATTCTACTGTCAAATCTTTCAAACTGTATGTTTAAACTGAAATATCTGTATCAGCCAGGAAGTTGGAAAGCAGCCTGAAAGGAGGGGAGATGCTCTGGGAGAGGAAATTGCAGAACACAGGTTATGAAGGGGACAGGAAGTACTGAGGGAGGCTAAATAAAGAAGGGAATGAGAGGGGCAAAGAGGACGGGGTCGGATAAGCAGAGCAAACACTAAGGGTATTTGTAAAAGCCATATTGAAATTACTGTTTTATAAAAGTATACACATGCATGATGGGAGATGTCATTCTGTAAATATGTTTCTCTTATTGGTTAATGAATAAAGCACTGTTGGCCAATAGGAAAGCAAGATAGGCGGGACTAGGAGACAAGGAGGAGAGAGGAGGTAGTAGTAGGGAGATCCAAGATGGTAGACTGACAGAGAGTACGCCAGCCCCTCTCTCCGGTAACTTAGATTGATAGAAATGGGTTAATATTTAAGACAGAGCTAGCCGATAAGAAACTAGTAACTGGCCTACAGCTTTATATCAAATACAGTCTCTGTGTGTTATTTTGGGCTGGCATGGAGGTGGGACCAGACTGGCAGGGAAAAACTACTACTAACACAAACATAAAAGAGTTTAGGTGGTGGTGGTGCACGCCTTTAACCCCAGCACTTGGGAGGCAGAGGCAGGCTGAGCTCTGTGAGTTTGAGGCCAGCCTGGTCTACAGAGTTAGTTCCAGGACAGCCAAGGCTACACAAAATAACCCTGTCTCAAAAAACCAAAAGGAGAGAGAGAGAGTTAAAATGAAGTTACCCTACATCCGCCTAATACTCCTCCCAGAAGCCGAAAGATGCAAAATAAAACTCTCAGAGCTAGGGGTGGGTTAAGGAGGGCCCCAGAACAATGAGAAGACCTCAAAAATAACACAAGCTATTATCATTACTCTTGAGTGCCCACCAGAACTTGATGGTAAGACCCTGTTGCTGAAGATAGCATATACTTTGGTCACATGACTTGGAGAAATCAAGCTAGGACTTTCCTGGAAACATCCTCCCTGCTGGTAGCTGCCATAGTCCTGGAAAGTACTATCAGGTGCTGGGTGAGGGGCGGGTGCATTCATCAACGGTATTAGTTGATACAAGCTGCTATAACAACTGGTAAGATGGGCCCATTGGTGCAATAATGCATGAATGTTATGAGAAAACAACCTCTTTCTTATTGGATTTAAGGCCACTCCACCTAAGGAAATCCACGCCCGGTACTGTAACTCTGGCCAAAAATCTGTGGTGGGAGCTCATAAGTTCTAGGGGTGAATTTACTACTGTTACTTTGTTAAGTGGCCATGGTGTTACACTGCCTTTGAATGTACATCCTGTACCCATGGGACAGAGTAGGTCTCAACCCTCATCAGAGAAACTTCGCAGAGATAAACAAAAGTGTCTGGAGCCCTCAGCTACCTACATTACACTCCCTCCCCAAGGCTCAGGAAACATCTTGAAAGCGTGAAAGATTGTAAGAGCCAGAAGTCAGCAACACAGCAGTGCCTTCTGGGTATGACTTGACCGTTGCCTTCATGAACTCAGCCACTGAGGTTTACAGCACAAAGCCTGAACCGGATTGAGCCAGTCAACATTCTAGCACGGATGGGGGCCACTTCTCTTCTCTACACTATGTGAGTGTCTGGGATTGAACTCAAGTCATCGCGCTTGGTAAGAGCGGCCTTTACCCGCTGAGCCATCTCACTGGACCTGCTTTGTTTTTCTCGTTTTGGGGCAGAGTCTTCTGTATTCAGGCCTGGCCTCAAACTCCTATATCACGGAGGAGGGAGGAGGTGGCCTTGAATTTTTCTGTTTGCCTATCTCTTTAGTGTGTCTATGTGTGAGTGTGTCATAGCATGTGCATGAAGCTCAGAGGACAACTCTCAGGAGTCACTTCTCTCCCCCACGTGGGTCCTGGCGATTGAACTATGGTCATCAGCCCTGATGGCAAGGACCTTTACCTGATGATCCACCTTGCTAGCCTGACCTTGAACTTGTGATCTGCTGAGTGCTGGGATTATGAGGGTTTAAAGAATGCTGTAGGGAAACTGAGGCCTATGCATGCTAGGCAGACTACCTTCTGTAGCAGGCTTTCCCAGTCATGACACAGAGACTTGTTATTAGTTATGAATGCTTGGCCTTTTCTTAGGCTTATTTCTTGTTAGCTTTTATAAATTCATTCAACTGTTTCTCTTCATTTATGTTTCGCCTCCAGGCTTTTTACCTTTCATTCTGTATGTCCTACTCTGTGTCTAGCTGGCTGGCTGGCTGGCCTCAGGCATCTCTCTCTCTTTCTCCCTCTTTCCTCCTCTCTTTCTCCTTCATTCTCTCCTCTCTTCTCTCTCCCCAGTCTAGATTCTTTCTGCTATTTATTCTCTCTGCCTACCAGCCCCACCTCTACTGCCTAGTTAGTTCAGCTTTTTGTTAGACCAATCAGGTGCTTTAGGCAGACAAGCTAAAACAAATATAACACATCTTTACATAGTTAAACAAATCCAGCATAAACAAATGCAACACACCTTTACATAGTTAAAGTAATATTCTCTAACAACCTTCCCCACCTCTTCAAAACGGGCTCTTATTCAGCTTGCCACACTATCTTTCTGGAAGGATGGAATCAATTATTTTTACCCAGTAGCACATGCAATTATCTTTCACCTAAAACCTCCGTTATCATTATTCCGTTTTCATCTTGAGGAGAATGATTTTGCATTTATTTTAATAATTTTCATCTTGAATATATCTTATTAACATTGCTAAGATGTATTTCTTCTGGGAGAAATTGCCTTCTAGCCATCTCACCTATTTCTACTGATATGCTCATTTTATTATATTGCTTAAAAGACTTGTTTTTACATGAAGTCTAATTACCTTTAATCTTCCAAATAGGAAAGAAACATTTAGTCATAATTATGTTTTTAAAATGCATGCATCATATTTTTATAATGTCCAACTTTTAATTTGTGTAAAGTGTGAGCTATCATTTCTACCTGTATGGTTGTCGGCCCTAATAATTAGAAAGTTCTAGAGCTAGGGTTATAGCTATCTAGTAGCCCAGTGACCACCCACAGTGGGCCATCCCACATCAATTGTTAATCAAGGAAATGGACCACAGACTTGCCCTCAGGCCAGTCTACAGGAGATAACTCCTCAGTTGAGATTCCCTACTCCCAGATAAGGATGTCAAGGTGATAAAAATCAACCAGCACAGGGGTCAAGCAAATGTAATTAGCTTTTTGATTTGCGTGCTCTCATGCGCTCGTCTCCTCTCCTTAAAATTCGTGTGGCTTTATTTACTTTATTGTGTGTAAAAGTGTACATGTGTGTAGTGAGATATCCACCCCACCCACACCTGTTGTACTGACCACACCCATTGGGGCGGGGAGACAGGTGCAGGTGTGACCTGGGGGGACTGGGTCTGGGTCCTGGACCCCAGCTCTCTCTTGCTTCCTGGCTGGAGACAAAGAGCATCCGGAGGCATCCTTGGGACGGGAACCTGCAATGGTCATCTGTTTCTGGTATAAGTGATTTCTCCCCGAATAAACATCCATCGGCCTGTCATTTCCCAGATTCTTATTTATCCACAATACACATGTACACCATGTGCATGCCTTGAAGATGGTGCCAGAGAGTGTTATGGGACATGTGTACACTGTGAAGATGCATTGCTTTGATTGCCGTAATAAAAAGCTGAATGGCCAATAGCTAGGCAGGAGGAAAAACAGAACTTCTAGGCAAGAGAGAAAGGAAGAGGAGGAATGTGGTTCTTTTTGATGGTTGTTTTTTTTTTTTCCTCTGTTGCTCTTTGGGGGACAACACCCAGCTCCCAAATAATCACACAGAAGTTTATTCTTACTTATGAATGCCAGATCTTAGCTTGGCTTATTTCTAGTCAGCTTTTCTTAAATTATGCTGTCTATATTTTGCCTCTGGGCTTTTACCTTTTTCTACTTCTGTACATCCTTTCTTTCCCTCTTATTCCATGTCTGGCTGTCTTGCTGGGTGATTGGCCCCTTGATTCCTCCTCTCCTCCTTTTCTTTTTCTCCTTCTATTTATTCTCTCTGCCTGCCTATCCCTTTCCTGCCTTACTATTGGCTGTTCAGATCTTTGGTAGACCAGTCAGGTGTTTTAGGCAGGCAAAGAAACACAGCTTCACAGAGTTAAACGCAACATAAAAGAATGCAACACATCTTTGCATCATTAAGCAAATGTTCCACATCATCAAAGAATGCAACACATCTCAACTAATATTCCACAACAGAGGAGGACTGAGCCCACAGGGGATGATAGAAGACACAGAGAAGAAACAGGAGGTGAAAGACAGAAGAGAAGTAATGCCACGTGATAGAACGTAGATTAATACAAACGAGTTAATTGAAGTTACAAGAGCTAGTTGAGATAAGCGTAAGCTAAGGGCCACGTTTTCATAATTAATAAGAAGTCTCCATGTCATTATTTGGGAGCTGGCTGGTGGGACAGAAAAAGACTCATTACAAGAGAGGGTCCCCTGGAACAAGAGTTACAGATAGTTACAAGTTACCATGTGGATGCTGGGAACTGAACTCAGGACCTCTGACAAGGGCAACAAGTCCTCCTAAACCCTGAACCAACTCTCTGACCTGACAAAATTAACCCCTTTTCCCCTTCATGTTGCTGGGTATCAAACCGGTTCAGGGGTTGTGTGCAATAGGCCATTGAGGGGGAGCCCAGCCCTTGTTTTCTTTTTAAATTTATTTTATTTTCAGTTATGTGCATCTAGAAGGCAGAGGAATATACATACACCTGTGGGTATGCAGGAGTCCAAGGAATCCAGAGGAGGGCATTGGATCCCTGGAGCTGGGGTTACAGACATATGTTTTGGAGCTGAACCTGGGTCCTCTGCAAGAGCAGTACTCTCTTAGCTATTGAACCATCTCTTCGGGCCCCAGTACCTGGATTTGGGGTTGTTGCTGTTGTTGGTTTTGGTTGGTTGGTTGGTTGGTTTAGTTTGGCTTGATTTGGTTTTTTGATTTTTTTTGAGACAGGATCTCACTATGTGGCCCAAGATGGCTGTGAACCTGCTAGTTGATGTACACAGAGAAAAGGGATATACATTCTAAAAAAAAAAAAAAAAAAAAAAAAAAAAAAAAAACTAGAATTCTCATATAAGTGAGGATGGTTTGGGCCTTCTGGTCCTCCTACCACCTCCTGAGTGCTCCGCGATTACAGCTGTGGCCCCCATGCCAGTTCACAAAACCCGGGGCTTTGTGCGTGCCAGACAAGTAGTGTACCAATTCATCTATGCCTGCACTATGGGTTCACATTTCATATCTCACTTTTATTGAGCCCCAATCTTTCACATACAGTCTCTCACAAATCCTCACGATGACTTTGCAAGATGGGCGCTCACAGGCGGCCCCTTGTGTCTCAATGTACTGGCCTGTGTGAACTGGCTCAAAATGATTGGCTCTGGCATCCTGCTTTGGGTTGCTTTGCTTTCCTGTTGCTATGGTAAAAGATGCTG